TTTTTTTCCTCAAAAACACCCCCCCCCCCCCCCCCCCCCCCCCCCCCCAAAAAAAAAAAAAAAAAACAAGACAAAATGTCAACAGATCTAATGGAAGCAACATAATTCTCAATCAATTCTGTTCACGTTCTCTCCATAGAATTACATCTTCTAACCTGGTGGGGTTCAATAAGACTTTATGATCGTGTAATAACACTTTTTGACGATAATTCTGTGTTGCAGCTCCACATTTACAGTGAAATTAAGGGGGCGTTTATTTGAGTTTTTACACACAAAAATTAAACACCTCCCTCGAATAAGCGCCTCCGCAAAAACCCTTGTTAACAGTAAACGTCCCGGGCGTTTATACGAATAAATACGGTATAAGTACCGTATCGTTTCATTCGACCAATTTTCGAACATAGCACTGCAGCACACGTTTAGTCTTATGAAATGTTTATACACGGGCACTGTTAATCTGTCTAATAAAATACTAAATAAAGTAATTTTTTCTATCTCTTCATCGCAGGAATATAGTACGTAACGATGGCATGTGGGACGGTGTTTTCAATCAAGTTAGGGTAAATATAAAAAGTATTAAGTTCTACAGATCTGATATAGTGTATTATATAGTTTGAAACGATACCACATTGTAAAGTCTTGGCTCCTCCTACTTAGATTTGCACATGCGTAAAAGTTGCCTAAAGTAGTTACAATTGAATTAAAATAAATGAGTATCAACTTCATAACGAATATATATTTCTTCATATATCATCCTATAACATGATATATCGTCATATACAACATCATATATAAATAATAAACAGGATATATAAAAATATGGGACAACTTGATGTGACAATTTAAAGGCAGATACCTGTGAAATGTGGACATTTACATCTTTATTTCTTTACATCAGTTTTTTCAGAATTACCTACGTGGTGTACCGCAAGCTTAAACATATATGTTATTACTTCGCCATGCAAACCTTCAAACATTATCTTTCTTTGTGCAGTACAGTTTGGTTATTATGTAGACTGTTCTTCTAATCCTTAATATTCTTTACTGGTGTATTTCATAGGTAGATACTGTAATAGTATTTTCTGTATAAAAATGTATTACATAAGTCATGTTGATATTTTCAGGATTCGCTAGGTGGCCGTGTTCGTGGAATGACAGCGGGAGCTGCACCCGTCTCCGCCGAAGTGAAACGCTTCTGGCAGTGCTTCTCTGGTGCCTATGTAAGTACGGAGCGAGCGTTGTATGTGTGCGTTGTATGTGTGTGTGTGTGTGGGGGCATCTAGATGTTATTGTGTTCGTGTGCTTGTAGCTAGAATAAACAACTTGTTTATATAGGCTAATAAGACCTAATTTGGAATTCACTTAATAATATCTCTCAGTATAATTTCTTCTTTTAAACGTGCTTCTGAAAGATTATTTCTTGAATTTCACTGAAGTTAAAATGTTTGCATTTAAATTATGTTTGACTATTAGATTTTATACTTTTGGTTTTTATTGGGTTAAGTTCTTTTTTTCTTGTGGGTCCATTTATTTTTTGTCTTTATCAATTGTGTTTCTCCATTATACAATTGACATTATACTAGTGTATTTTAAGCCAAAGAAAACATTTAAACATTAAAACATCTCGACTTTTCAACATCAACAGCTTGTAGAAGGTTTTGGTCAAACGGAGGCGACGTGTATTTGCACTTTAGCTTACCCGACTGATAACTCCCTAAACCACCAAGGAGCGCCAATTGCGTCCTGTATGATGAAGGTTGTGGACGTTCCGGAAATGGACTATTACGCTAAAAACGGACAAGGAGAGGTAGGCGATTTTAGAGAACATTTAAAATACTTATTTATTCATAATGACAATAGGCGTATGTTGGTGATGATGCTTATTATAATGATGATGTGGTGATGTGGTGATGATAATGATGACAATGGTGCAATGATGCTTTTATTATATATCTGTTTGATGAAAAACACATTAAAATATAGATGGATTGATTTATTTGGTGTAAACACCAATGATAACACACGAAGTCTGAAGAAGACTTACACATTCGGACCCAAAGCGCTGAACGCCAGCGTCCCTATTTTTACACACTGATTCGATTTTCTGATCGGTTCTGTAGGCCTTCCGATGATCCGAAAATTCAGATTCGGTGTGGATGAAGTTTTATTTTCAGTGGGGTCCGGGGGAATATCGTAACTTGAATTTCACAATTATTTTTTAGAACATCTATTTTCTGCAATAGATATGTATGAAAGGACCTAGCATAACGAATGGTTATTACAAGAATGAGGAGAAGACTAGAGATACATACGACAGCGACGGATGGCTTCATAGTGGTGACATAGGTGAATGGACAGAGGTAAGCAACCGTATTCTGAATATATGCTACCAGTACTATGGATTATGCATTATTCTAATGCAAGCCATTAAAAGATCCACTCGAGAATAGAGCTAAATTTTGGTGGCACATGAGCTCTCGAACAAATAACTCAAATCGTGGGAAGATCCAGTGAATGAATCCGAAAGTGAGGCCGATCGAGACAACACTACTTCAGGGGGGTCCCCCGATTTTTTTGTTTTGTTTTCTAGACGACCGAAAATAACGTCTGATGCGTTTTGGGCGATTAATTATTTCTTTTTCTTTCTTGCTTGCTTGCTTTCTTTCTTTCTTTTTTGTTTAACTTCCCAAAAAAAAAAGGGAGAGAGGGAAGGGGGGCGCCTTCCCCTCTAAATTCTCCCCTGCAAATATGATAGGTTTATTCAATATATCATCGTAGCACAAAGCTAAAATGAGATAATGTACAAATAGCAAATCAAGATATGAATAAAATGAGTGAAAACATTCTTAAATTTCCAAACACTTGCTTAGCTCTCTTTCTCTATGAACACGCTCGTCGTTGACCAATAATTACTTCTCATGTTATGAGTGGAGGTAATGTGTGAATACTTGACGTTCAATTTGTGGCCGGTACTGTGCCATGATTTTGATTTCGCTATTGGATGAAAATAAAACACGAAACTTATAATCACGATGGCAATAAAAAAATACACACTGCTCTTGGATTTTTTTTTTTTTTTTTTTTTAGCCTCTCATCGTCTGACGTCATAATTTAAACTCCGAATCCACATTTATTCTTCTACGATTGTTGAAAATGAAAAACATTCTGAAATTCTCACATATGATTGGCCGTCTTCCCCTGTCTACACGCTCGTTGTCAACCAATAATTACTTCTCATTTTTACAGTGTGGCCAAATTCGTATCATCGACCGAAAGAAGAACATTTTCAAGCTTTCTCATGGAGAGTACGTTGCGCCAGAGAAGATTGAAAACGTTTATCTTCGGTGCGAATATGTCTCGCAAATATTCGTCCACGGAGAGAGTTTACAGGTAGAAATATACA